AAAGACTTAATAAAGAGGGGGGATGAATGGGAAATTGAGACTGCTCTGCATGCCGGTGTTGAAAGGTTGCAGGGGAGAGGTGAAGGGGGGGTGGGGGGTGTTGAGAGGTTGCAGAGGGGGGCGGGGTAGGGGGGGGGGGCATTGGGGCATGGGTAGCAGGATGGAAGGTTTATGGTAATTGAACGCGTTCCGCCGGTGAACCTCCTTCGCGACTGCTAAATTGAATGAATCTATTGAAAAAAGAAAGAAAGAAAGAAAAATGAACAGACGATGTTGTCGTGTTTTTCCTGTGGTTTCTTGCGTGTGGAAATTTTGAAGATGTAGTGATCATAAAAAAAACACGAATAATGTAAATATCAGAACAATAAAAGACGTAAATAGTTGAATAGAAAAGAAGAAAAAAAAAACATGAACGGTATGGAAGCACTTGTTTTTCATGGAGATTTATTGCCATCATTACCCAGGGCTGTTTGTCTGTCAGTCGTGAAGCCCACTTTAGGAAGAAGGGAGAACAGAAAGGATTTAAAAAATGATAATGGCTTTGGAAAGTCGTTCATATTTTCTCTAGATCAGCTGATTTTCCGAATGCTCTAGATCAGCTGATTTCAGAATACTCTAGAACAGCTGACTTCAGAATGTTCTAAGTTAGCTGACTTCAAAAAGCTGTATATCAGCTGACTTCAGAGTGTTCTAGATCAGCTGACTTCAGAATGCTTTTGATCAGCTGACTTCAGAATGCGCTTGATCAGCTGACTTCAGGATGCTCTTGATCAGCTGACTTCAGAATGCTCTTGATCAGACTTCAATGCTCTTGATCAGCTGACTTTGGATCAGCTGACTTCAGAATGCTCTTGATCAGCTGACTTCAGAATGCTCTTGATCATGACTTCAGATGCTCTTGATCAGACTTGAACTTGATCAGCTGAGAATGCTCTTGATCAGCTGACTTCAGAATGCTCTTTGATCGCTGACTTCAGAATGCTCTTGATCAGCTGACTTCAGAATGCTCTTGATCAGCTGACTTCAGAATGCTCTTGATCAGCTGACTTTCAGAATGCTCTTGATCAGCTGACTTCAGAATGAGATCAGCTTCGCTCTAGAACAGCTGACTTCAGAATGCTCTTCAGCTGACTTCATGCTCTAGGTCAGCCGACTTCAGAATGTTTTAGATCAGCTGACTTCAAAAGGCTCTAGAACAGCTGACTTCAGAATGCACTGGATCGGCTGACCTCAGAATTGGAATGCGTTGAGGAAGGGAAAATTTCGTAACGAAGAAGCGAACGCCGAGAAAAACGCATAGTTGGCTTGGTGTTCGGGGACTCGCACGTGCCACTTACTTAATCGACGCATTTGAACGAGTTACGCATCTCTGTGTTCTCTCTCTTTCTCTTTGTTTTTCTTTGTGGTTATGCTTCTCTTTCTTTTTCTTCTTTGTTGTCCTCTCTCTCTCTCTCTCTCTCTCTCTCTCTCTCTCTCTCTCTCTCTCTCTCTCTCTCTCTCTCTCTCCTCTCTCTCTCTCTCTCTCAACACACACACACACACACACACAACCACACACACACACACACACACACACACACACACTCAACACTCTCACTCACACTCACACTCACACTCACACACACTCACACTCACACTCACACACACAACACACACACACCACACACACACACACACACACACCACACACACACACACACACACACACACACACACACACACACACACACACACAGAAAAAAGCCCGCCTCTCTCTTCCTCTTCTCCTCCTTCCTTTCCTTCCTTCCTACGCACGTACCTCTCCCACTCTTTTTTCCACCTTCCTGCATCTCTCCCTCCGTCTCTCGCGAGCCCACCCTTCTCACACACACGCCGATAAAGATCACGAAACGAGGCGACGACGATAACGATCATGTAAACAAACAAGGGCACTAACACGACTCCGGAAGTACGAGGTGCCTTGAGTAAAGGGGGTGTCACACTAGCACAATTTCCGTGGTTCTTTCACGTTTCCGTGGTGTTTTTCTCGCTACCGGTTGTATTTTGTGTGAATGCGATAAATTCCAGTCAAACGATAATTACCGTTTTCGCTGGCAAGTTTCCGTGGTCGTTTTCGTTTAAATGATAAGCTATAATAGATAATCGTTATTGCAATGTAAAAAAAAAAGTATTTATAATATAAAACGTTTCAAAAAGAGTCTCAACTGTAAATATTTTAAAATTGGCAAAATTCTCTTTCGTATTTGATAAAAAAAGATACGTTTGTAACTAGCTGCTCGCCTGTTTGTTTACATTTGTCCCCGTCAGCTGACTAGATGAGAGTAGCGAGAATACGCCCTTATTTAGCCTTATAGAAAAGTGGGATATGGGGAAAGAGAGGTGAGGGGGGTGGGGAGTGAATGAAGGAGAGGAGAGGAGAGTGGAAGGGGAATGGGAAGTGAATGAGAGAGAGGAGTGGGGAGAGAGGATAGAATGAGGGAGAGGAGAGGGGAGTGGAAGGGGAGTGGGGAGTGAATGTGAGAGAGGAATGGGGAGAGGGGACAGATTGAGGAGAGGGGAGTGGCGCGTGGAAGGGGAGATGGGAGATGAATGCATCGAGAGAGGTGCTTATTGAACCTTTAGGCTGGCGAGGAAGATGCTTCACGCACTCGCCCACCTTTGGTAAACATCTGGAGCCATAGCTTATATTAAGCATTGTTTTCAGAATAATGAATTTGTAACTAATATTGGGAAGAATTGTAGTAGGAATAATAATAGTAGTAGTAGTAGTAAGAGTAGGATGATTAATGTAATTAGTAGTAAACGTGCGAGTAACTGGTGTATTAGAGACGATAATGATATAGTTCATATTGATAGCAATGATGACGGTAAAAAAGATCGTCAACAGATGTTAATTACTTCATGTACATTGATTTTATTCATCTTTGATTCTAATTCGTCGACCTTTTACAAACCACTCGACCGCATTTCCACGTGTGACATTTCCTCGTTCGAACCTAACCATTCAAGTGATTTAAGGGGTCAGTTGTAGTATATAGGCCTACATTCCTCTCCCCTGTATTAATTTTTCGAATACCCGACTTTGCCCCGAGGTGGAGGGTGGAGGGGGAGGGGGAGATGGAGGGGGGAGATGGAGGGAGGAGGGGGAGATGGAGGGAGGAGGGGGGGAGATGGAGGGAGGAGGGGGGAGATGGAGGGAGGGGGAGGGAGGGAGGGAGGGGAGGGAGGAGGAGGGTGGGGTGAGATGGAGGTGAGGGAGGTGGGTGAGGTGAGATGGAGGTGAGGGAGGGAAGGAGGAAGGAGGTGAAGTGAGATTGAGATAAGGAAGGGAAGGAGTGGCGCCTTTCTCACGCTGCCTGATGGGGAAAAAAAACATCGCTTTGAGATTTTGCCTTCATGAATCCCCACATCACTCGGCGTCACTTCCGGGCCCCACGTCGCTCGGCCGCCCTCGCGATGTTGACACGGGCACAGGCGAAGGCGAAGGCGGAAGTGGGGGATTTGGGAGCTCCTTGGCCCGGTCGCGTCGCCTCGCCCGCCGTCGGGGTCTGGGGCTCGTTGGGGCAGATGGAGGGGAAGCGGGGTTGATAACGCGTCGCTGATGATGAATAGCTTCGATTTAATAACTGAACTGATGGTGAATCACTTCGAATTAATAAGTAAACTGATGGTGAATCACTTCGAATTGATAAGTAAACTGATGGTGAATCACTTCGAATGAATGACTTTTCACTGATGATGAATAACTTGGAATGAATTACTTGACTGGCAATGAATAACTTGGAATGAATTACTTACCTGATGATGAATTACTTACCTGATGATGATGAATAACTTGGAAGGAAAGGCTCTTCACTGATAATGGATAAGTTAGACTGTTTGGGAAAGGTAGAAGGAATGTCACTGACAATGAATGAATTCGACAGTTTTGGAAAGGCAGAATCAATAGCTTCAATGATTCTTCACTAATGTTGAATAACTTTGACAAATCCGGAAAGACGAACAAATTCAACCGACTGTTTTACATCTTCATGAGAATAGCATGATTTTGTGGAGGATGCATTGAACGCATTTCATTATGCAATTATGCACTCAGGTCTTTTCGACATGCCATTTTTAATCTGTTTATTTCTCAAAATAGCTCTCTCTGCTTGGTACCATTTCATATTGTTGTTCTTGTTGTTGTTGTCGGTATTGTATTTGTTTTTTTTCCTTTGTGGATATCTGTGATAGAAAGGCCTAGAAAAGGAGGCCGGGAAATGGGTGTGAATTATGAGAAAAACAGATGTCAGGAGGTCTGGTTAACGTGTGTGTGTGTGTGTGTGTGTGTGTGTGTGTGTGTGTGTGTGTGTGTGTGTGTGTGTGTGTGTGTGTGTGTGTGTGCGCATATGCGTGCTGGAGAGAGAGAGAGAGAGAGAGAGAGAGAGAGAGAGAGAGAGGAGAGAGGAGAGAGAGAGAGAGAAGAGAGAAGAAGAAAGAGACCTAAGAAAGAAAGAAAGAACGTGTAACTGCGCTTGTCATCCCATCCTGACGCGAGCAAGCAGCGAACGAGAGCCAGGAGAGAGTGCCACTTGTCGGAACAGTTTAACGAGGGTGATGGAGGCATTGTGGCGGGAGGCCGAGGCGGGTATCTCCTGTGTGCGGATTAATGACACTCCGGGTCGTGGTGCGGCGGGAGGCTGGTGGATTCAGGGAGGGAGAAGGAAGGGCGGTAGGGGATAGAAGGGGAGGTTGGAATAAGTGAAAGGGAGAGAGTGGCACGGAGGGAGGAAGAGACAATGGGGTGGGGGGCTGAGGAAGCGGAAGGAAGGAGGGAAGAGGGAAAATGTGGAGCAAGGAGGGGCGATGAGATCAGAAGAGAATTACACGGGCCTGAAGGAGACTCGACGAGGAATGAAGGATGTGAGAGACAGCGGATACTAGAGACAAAGAGGAAGAGGAGAGGCGGGGAGAAGGAAGGATAGCAGATGTCTTGCGGAAGGAAAAAGTGAATGAGGGAGGGAAGGAGGGAGAGGAAGGTGGGACAAGAGATGGTTTGTGTGTTGGCCAGTCGCCTGAGTGGGGTAGGTATGTAGCGAGGTTCGCGCACGCACGTACGTACACACGCACACGGCGGGGCCACCAAGCCAGCCAGCGAGCAGCACAGCCAGCAGCTCCACCACGTCGGGACTCGCAGCACCAGTACGCTCCCGACGCCCCAGCCACTTGTTACTCGCTTCGGCCGCACCTGCTCCGCTTGCGGCAGCCGCTGAGGTGCTCCTCGGTCCTTCGAGGGCGACACTGTGTGCTGTGGAGGTGCTTGCGTCTGCTCGTGCTTTGCGACCGAAACGTGAAGTTTGGTAACGCGTGTGGAGATCGGCGCTGTGATTAACGTCGCTTCGCTTTTGGGTGCAGTGCTGTGTGCGGCGCGTGGAGGGCGGCGATATAAAGCGTTTGTGTTTTTATGCGCCAAAGGGAAGCTACGCTGTTTGGGACGAGGCTTTGTCTCGGTTTATTTCGAGACCGGGCGTGCGTGTGCGAGCGGGGACAAAGCTCGGAAAACGAGAGTGAGCTTCGTGGTGCAGCGTGTGCTCGGGAGATGAATTCGTGTGGTGACAGTGATGCTTTAGCCTATTGTGTCTTTTAACAAGGCGAATGTGTAGTGCTGTCGTAGAGGAGAATTGGAGAAGCAGGTAAGGACAGACCGACGGAGAGCCGTCATCAAAAGGGTGATCCCAAGGTACTGGAAGAGTTGCCAGCTCGTCAATTAATCCGCGGCTCAGGCCCCCTCCGGCCGCGAGCAAACAGAATCATCAGTCAAAGGCTCGCGGGATAGAAAGCGCACCTGACACCTCTCCATTAGCGTGGCATGAGATGCGAAGTGCGAGGGCATGACAGACGTAAATCTGCAGGTCCTTCGGCCGCGCCGGCACCGCGCGTGATCTGAATGGAAAAATTAAATCCCCGAAGCTGAACGCTGGCGGCGTGGCAACCCTCGAGTGGCCGTGCGCGGGTGGGAGATGATTACCCTCGTTGTTTACACCTGTAGCTAGTCACCTGGTGTGCGCTGGCCCCCGGTGCGCTGGGGGAAAGGGGAGGAAGGAATTTCCTCCCCGGGGCGCGAGGAAACTGCGCGCGAAAGACGGATGTGATGAAGGCCTTTGTGGCTCCTATGACAGTCAAGGTTGCACAAAAGTCAAGGTCGCGGATCGGCGAGGCTGTGCTGTGTATCTGCGCTGGAGATGCCTGTGCTGAGGGCGAAGAGTCCGCGGGTGGAGGGCGGGCGGTGCTACCCCAAGGTGTGCTGGTCCGCCGTCACCCGCGCCACCCACTGGGGGATCAGCACGCGCTCGTCCGCCCCCGAGACGCACTCCGCCAAGTCTGCGAGGAGTGCGAAATCCTCGCAGATCTTCAACGGCTTCCCAGTCGATTCGGATCAGGGCGGCGTCACGAGCAGGCCGGACGGTGATTCAGAGGCGAACGGCTGCAGAAGGGAAATGGGCGCTCCCAGGGCCCCCGCGGCCCCCGCCCGCCACCAGGGGGGAGTGCACGCCGCTCAGCCCCTCCCCGCGAGCGCGCTCCCCCGGGGGGCGCAGCAGCACCGCCAGGCTCGCCTCCAGCCCAGTACCCCTAGAAGTGCCACGCCGTCTCGGTCGTCTGCCTCTGCTTCCACGGGCAAGGGCTTGAGTAATGGCGGTGCTTTCCGGGCGCCAGGGACCAGACTCCGCTTCTTCTCCAGGAGTGTAGCGGCGCCGCCCCCGCCTGCGTGTGACGACCATCACTGTGACGTCGACGACCTGTGTGACGCCAGCAGTGCGAGCGACTGCAGCAGCGCCAGCGATGCACACAGCTCCAGCGGTGGTCACAGCTTACGTGACTCGTGCAGTGGAAGCGACGACGACGGTGCTTGCTCTGGCACGTGCTGCATTCCGGCGGGTGACGCGCCGTGCTGTCTATTACCCTGTGCCCACACCTCTGCGGGTGCCAAGATAATTAGGAGTGCCATCAGCGTGCCCTCGACGAGGCACTGTGGTTATGGTGCCTATGGGAACGAGAATGACGCCAGCATAGCCAAGATGCCTCTGCGAGCTCGGAGCGGCGAGGGCGTGACGACAGCGGCGTGTATGGGTGCTCTCAGCTGCAGGCTCAACGGCGCTCGCGATGGCGGGGCCGGCCGGGCGGCGACGCCGAACGGGCATTGTGAAACTCAGGTGCTTGACAGGTGCGACGAGGAGGCCCCGGCGCCCCGCCACCCCCGTGCTGAGAGTGAGCCGAGTGTGAGCAGAGACAAGGACGCGAGTGACAGGAACACGGCCCCGCGCGGCATTGTGTGTCGTATTGGCCGTCAGCAGGACAGCAGCGCTGCGCCGATGGTGCGACAAGACACTTTCACAATAGAGAGAGGGCAAGGCGGGATCAGCCCTCGAGGGGAAGGGGGCCTCTCCTTGCCCATGCTGTCGAGGCCGCTCTGCCCCTCCCCGACGCCCACGCCCTCCCTCGCCACCCTTAGGCCTAGGGCTGGCCAGAGTGGCACCTCCAACGGCTCCAAACTTAGGCCTCCCGCCACTCACTACCGCGAGGCCGCCCGCCTCAGCCCTGCCAGGTCGAACGGCGCTGCCTCGGCCCCGTACTCCCGGGGGTCGTTATCGCAGCCCAGGGCGGCGCTCGCGGCCTCGAGGGGAGGGCGGAGGAGGAGCGCCAGTGAGAATGGGGACTTGGGAGCAGAGGAAAGGCTCGGTGGAGGCGCGGACACTCCACCGTGGGAGCCTCACCATGTCGCCAAGGTGCGCACGGAAAAGATAAACAGGAATTGTCTGACTAACATGGTTTTAATTAAGACTGGCCGACGGGATTCCTCAAGTAAAACAATCGTCTCTAACTTCATAGTTAATTAGATTCAGCATGTTTAAGTGTCGCTTGTGGGCCTTTATCACATGTTCTAACACCTATTTCTGTTGTCCCTTCTCGTCTTTCGAGTTACCTTCCTGCACAATGACGATTTTTTTTCTCCTAATCCTAATCTGAAAGCTCCTTGACTTGACTTCACAGTAGGACGAGGACATGATAAGCGTTTGTCAAGCTTCACTTCAAACCTTGAGTAATTGCTGCTTTTCCAAAGGAGTGCATCGTATTTGTCCTTGGACTATAAACCCCTTTTATTATACAACGCGTTTCTTTTGGGATATTTCCTTCGTAGGTTGTTTTAAACATGGGCATTTCCTTGTGGTTTTTTCTTCTTTTACTTTTTCAGTCTTTGAATTGAGTTTAATTTAGTGTTTTAGTCTTTGAAATGTGATTTAGTTTTTTAGTCGTTGAATTGAGTTGAATTTATTTTTTTTTAGTCTGAATTTAGTTGAATACAGTTTTTTAGTCTTTAAGATTAGTTTAATTTAGATTTTTAGCCTTATTTTAGTTTATTTTTAGATTTTAACCTTTGAAATTATTTTTATTTTTTTTTTTAGCATTTAAATTTAGTTTTTTTGCGGTTTCCGTTTGAATATACAATATGAACATCAAACTGTTTTAACGGTCTTTTACGTAAATAGAATTAGCGTGGTGGCTCATGCCCGTCGCGCTCCAAGTCATGTGGAAGAAATCAGTCCCCCTCCCCTCCCCCCTCATTCCTCGGCACTGACACCTCTCCCCCCCCCCCTCCCACAGTCTTGGGGCGTCATGTGTTCCCCGTCACAGGTTGCTCAGAAACCTAATAAAGCTGTAGTTTCAAAGGGATTTGCTGACTTGAAACAGGAAGGCAAAATCGTGCACAGATAGTGCCAGATTATTTAGATGCTGCGCCTGCTTCATACAGATAATTGGATATTGCGCTCGCCTTATAGAGATAAATTACCATGTAGGTGCACCCGGGCATGTGCGCTCCCTAACCTCCACCCGCACTTAAAAAATAATTTATGACATTTCATATTTGCATTTGAGTTTGTAAGTACTTATATTAAGTACAGACATTTATTAATTCTTATATACGTGCACTATTGTGTATGTGTGTGTCTGCTCTCTCTCTCTCTCTCTCTCTCTCTCTCTCTCTCTCTCTCTCTTCTCTCTCTCTCTCTCTCCTCTCTCTCTCTCTCTCTCTCTCTCTCTCTCTCTTCTCTCTCTCTCTCTTCTCTTCTCTCTTCTCTCTCTTCTCTCTCTCTCTCTCTCTCTCTCTCTCTCTCTCTCTCTCTCTCTCTCTCTCTCTCTCTCTCTCTCTCTCTCTCTCTCTCTCTCTCTCTCTCTCTCTCTCTCTCTCTCTCTCTCTCTCCCTCTCCCTCTCCTCTCTCTCCCTCTCCCTCTCTCTCCCTCTCTCTCCCTCTCTCTTTCCCGTGTTGACTGTGTGTGTGTGCACAGGTGTGTAAGTTGTATACGCGCGTGTGTAAGACGAAATGATATACCGAAAACGCCCTTATCACTCCTTGCCAGTAGGTGATGGTTGGTGGGCATTCCTATCAACAGTTCTTCATCCAGTTTATGTAACAAGTCTTGTCATAATCGGCCGGTTTGTTAGAATTGTGCCAGGCCCGACCCAAAGAATTTTCATAAATAGAGACGCAGAAATAAAGGTATATCTGTCTATATATCTGATAGATATACCTTTAACTGTGTATTTGCCCGGTTTATATGCATGTTTAGACTGATTAACATGCATTTGTTTCTTTTTTATGCATGTCAAGTATACGAATATTCTTTGGGTCGGGCCTCGCACAATTCTAACAAACCGACAGAATATCCGTTCTTAGACTTTTCCTCAGGGACTTATTAAGTAAGGGTGAGGATAACCTAAGTTACCTCATCCTTTTGAGGTTTAGTTTTACTTGTGTCGCAATAAACGTGTCAGAGTCAAAAAAAAGTCCTCCATTATAGATAATAAACGCCTGACTAACGCGTTTGCGCCGACTCATAGACCGCGACTGACGAACGTGGCAGCCAGGAGAGCGTGCATGAGGTGGAAATAGAGGGTCATCCAACACCCACATGATTGCGAGCGTGGGTGCAGGCGTCCCGTAGGCGTGACAAAAGCACACTGAATCTGCATTAAAGCTCGGAGGTGATATCGGCTGACGTCGCCTGACATTGTTTGTGTTGGCAGCTGACGGGGTGGTGACGAGGGGCCAGCACAGGCCGCGGTTAGGCTCTCTGTCACCTCGAGGTCGGCCTGTAAAGTCATTTATTTATTCTTTTTTTTTTTTTAAAGCGTCTCCGTTTTTATGTTCGGGTTGTGTATAGGGTTGGGGAGATTTTGATGTACGTGTGATTGGTTATTATTATCATTATTATTGTTATTATTATTATTGTTATTATTATTATTGTTATTATATTATTATTATTATTATTATTATTATTATTATTATTATTATTATTATTATTATTATTATTATATTATTATTGTTATTCTATTATTCATTATTTATTATATTATTATTATTATTATTATATTATTGTTATTATTATTATTATTATTATTATTATTATTATTATTATTATTATATTATTGTTTATTATTATTATTATTGTTATTATCATTATATTGTTATTATTTTATTATTATTATTATTATTATTATTATTATTATTATTATTATTATTATTATTATTATCATCATTTATTTATTTTATTATTATTATTATTATTTGGGAAATCATTCCTGAGGGAAGCATGGAATACATATTTATTTCTTAAATCTTACTATATTTCCAAATCAGAAATGAAATACGAATATATAATGATTTTGGCACGTGTTGTATTTATTTATGCGAAGGTATTAGACAATGGCCTGATAAAAGCTAAACGCCGGGGCTGTTATTTTCGTAGATTAGATTATTGTGCGATTGATTATCGGGGCTGCGTGATTCACATTCTATAGCCCTCGATATATGAATTCGATTTCATATTTTTATTTATTTATTATTTATTTATTTTTATGTTTATTGTAAATCCTCCATCTTTTTACTTTTTTTTTTTTTTTTAGCTTGTATTGATAATTTTCGAGGTGACGTCATCGTATGAAGCTGATGATAGATTTCCTTTCGAATGAATCGACTTTCGTCTCTCATTTGAATTTTGGAGGTGTTCGAAACCGTGGGAGATAAGCCAGGGTGATAGCGTTACGAACAGTACCTCGATAATAGAACAATAGACGGCGGTGTGCTTGCAGTGTGTGTGTGTGTGTGTGAATTCTTAGTGTGTTCTCGGTGGTGGCAGCGTCTGCGTGTGTGCGCGCGGTGTGTGTGTATGTGTGTACATCTCCGGGGCTTCTTTCTAAACCTTCTTTATTTAACGTGCTTCCCCTCTGCGTGCTTGCGTGCTTTTGCCTTTGTTGTACTTCTTGTTGCTCATTTATTTACGACCCCATTTGGGCGCGAGTTTTATCTATTTATTTATTTATTTATATTCCGACCGGTCTTACTCTTCCCCTTTCGCGCCTGACGAATGGTAGGGTGTCTTGGGGCAAGGTTTTGAAATATAGGCCTTGCCTTGGGGAGCAGGCTGTTAGCTTCTCCCGAATAGCTTCTGCGAGAGCTCGAAACGTTGCGTTAGGTATGTTTACATTGATCCCTATTTTTTTTAGAAAGCTTGTGTACATTTTTTTTTTTTTTTAGTTATTTTTATTATCATTATTGTTTTAATTTGATACTGTTGCGGTACTATTTATTTGTACTGGTGTTTGTATATGTCTCCGCTCTCTCCTCCCGTGTACTGTTTTAGATGAAGACACTATTCGTCTCTCCTCTCCCCTTCCCTCCCTTCTCCCCTTCCCTCCCTTTCCTTTCGCCCTCTCCGCTCTCTTCTCATTAATCCCCCCCCCGCCTCGCCTGTCTAAGCGTCACACACACCTCCGCCTCTCCGCCTCCGCCTCACCTACTCCAAGCAGCTTCTTATTAACGCTTGACCTGCGGAGTTGACAAGTTGACTTGAGCTGCGGAGTTGACTTGAGCTGCAGAGTTGACTTAGGCCTCGGAGTTGACTTGAGCTGCGGAGTTGACTTTAGCTTCTCTGAATGTGTAGCGTTGATGTTGACACTAAGGGTAAAAGGCACGGCGAGGGGTCCCTCTTTCGACGGCGGTGTTTGTCTTGGGGAGGGTGGAAGGGTGGTGGTGGAAGGGGGGTGAAGGGAGTTGGGGAAGGAGAGAGGGAAGGGAAGAGAAGAGAAGAGAAAGAACACAATGAGAAGTCCCAGTTGCATCAGCGCTGTAATGATGCCCTGCAGTAAGTCGCCAAGAAGAGGGGATAAAATGGAGGTTTGGTATATACAGTTCTGAAAGCCTTGGGAGTTTCTGTTCGTGGAGTAAGAGGGAGAGCGGAAAGAGAAGGGAAAAGAGCGAGGGAAGAGTTCCCGTTTCCGACAGCGCCCGACGATGACTCGGAGAAGGTGGCGGATAGCGGAGGGAGGTGCAGGAGAGGAGAGAGAGAGGGGGAGGGGGGTAGAGACAGGTGCAGAGAGAGAGAGAGAGAGATGGGCGGGAGAAGGGTAGTGACAGGTACAGGAGAGGAGAAGAGAGAGAGAGGTGGGGGGGAGAGTGAGGAGAGGGAGGAAAGAGAGGTTTGGTATAGACAGTTTTGAGAGCCCTTAGAGTTTCTATTTGAGGCGGAAGAGGGGGAGTAGAAAGAACGTAATGAGTCCATTCTTTTTTTTCGACAGCGATGCCGTCGAAAACGGCGAGGTCGTCTGGAATGTAAAATGAATGCAGAATGAAGGAATCGTATTGAGCAATGTTAAGAGCTTTCGCAGACTATATGGCTTAAGGGAGGTGGAGGGTAGAATAAGCGCGGGGAATTCCGAAGACCAAGTTTGAGAGCGCCATTGAGAGAAGCTTCGGGTATTATCCTTGTTTTATTAATGGCGTCAGTTGGGTTTCGCCAGGTGTCATGTTCGGGCTCAGGCAGATCAGTACGAGTCGAGTGCGGTATGAGTGACTAGGTCGCCTGACAGTATCCGTGTTGTGGTTCTGACGGCTGACTCCTTCTTGCAGGGTCCACGTGGGAGTGGCAACACTAAGCGCGGTGCCCCGTACTCCCGCAGCAGCGTCAGCAGTGATGAACACGATCAACAGGCGGCCTCAGGACAGCAGAAGGAGGACCCGCCCCCCCACCAGCCCACGCACCGAGGCCGCCGTGCCATGAAGATCACATTGCGCGAAGAGGCCACGAAAAAGA